CCCTGGTACAAAAAAAAAAAAAAAAAATTGGCAGTGGTTGATTAGGTATAGTGATGCGCGCCTGTAATCCCAGCACTCGGGAGGCCGAGGAAGGGGGATCACCACAAGTTTGAGGCCAACCTCGGCTACACAGTGAGTTCAAGGCCAGGCTGAACTACACTGAGTGAGAGCCCTGTCTCAAAACAAAACAAAAAAAGGTGGCAGTGATATTTCTTTTCCCTCTTCCCCTTGTTCTCTACCTGCCCCCCCCATTCTTTCCTTCTTTCTTTCCTTGTAAATTGTAACTAGGGATGCCAAGCAGTCTTGGTTCGATAGCTATATCACAGTGTTATACTGATCTCAGTCTGGCTCTACACCAGAGCATAAACAGACTTTGAAAAAAAAAACTGTTATAATGATTTAAAAAATCAAGAAAGTGGCAGTGATGATGAAAATGGGAAGAGGGAATAGTGAGAAGTGTCAAGTTCGTTCCAGAGGTCAAGAAAGAAGCACTTAAACTGATCATTGTTGATAGGAAGAGCAGTAGAGAAATGGTTGCTAGGCCATGTAGTTTGGAATTCTTGCCCCATTACTTATTTATTAACATTGGGCAAATTAGTTTTTTCAGCCCTAGTGCCTTTAGCTAGAACATGGTGATAATAATACAAATTAAATGAGACAATGTATATGGACTTCCTGAATCACTGCACTGCTCAGCCACTGTGAAAGCTGACATATTCCACTTTTCCTTCCTTCCAGCAACCTTCCTGTTATCATACTTTAAGATTCAGGAGGATCCAGTCTTGGGGACTGGATGGGATACAGATGTGTGGATCTCCAGAGGATGGTGGTGGGGAGCAGAGGTTGTAGTGAACAGCTGCGAGATCTATAGGGAAATCTGTAGAGCACAAACCCAGATGGAGCAGGATCAGATGTTCACACTGCAGGAGAGAAGAGGGAAGCAGTAACTGCCAACAAAGGGGGAGTAAGACCTGCTATGAAGAAAGTCCTGTTGTCATCCTGTCTAGGACCCTTCTTTTATAGCAGCAAGGGTCAGACAGGGCATATTAACAGACAGCTTTAGTGAAGAGACTAAGAGGGGCCAGCCAGTGGAGGGGCCTGTGCTAGGGTCACCTCTGGTCTGAGATCCAGTCCCCTTCCTACACGCAACTCAGGGATAGCTGTATTGTGACTTCTCCTATTTGTGAATCTAAAACTTCATTGTTTTCTACAAAACTGGGGGAAAAGGTAGAAATGACATATGTGTTCTTCCTAGGGACGTGTCAAATGTACCAGTTTGGGGTGGAAGGTAATTCAGAAAGGAAGGAGATGAGCTTTGACCCCTCAGTACTGGGGTTGTAACCCAGGGAGCACTGAGCTGTATTCTCCAACCCTTTTTATTTTTATATTGAGACAAGGTTTTACTAAGTTGCCCAGGCTGACCTCGAATTTACAATCCTCCTGCTTCAGCCTCCCTAGGAGCAGTTATTACAGTCAGTTGCTGTTATGTCTGCCTAAGATGAACATTTTTGATCAGCACTTTCTCAGAGCCATGTACTTTTTAGCTATATATGTTCATTTATCTTAATTTAGCTTTACAACAATAGATATGGAGTCTCAGAAGATAAGTAACTTTTCCAGAGTCCCACTACTAGATAGTGACAGAGCACATTTTAAGCCCAGTCTTTGTGCCCTTTCACATCACCCTAGACTTGGGAATCTCTGTAGCAAGTCTGGTTCAAACAACTCTTTTCTTTCTTCCCACTTCTAAGCTGCTTCATCCTTCATACGACTAACACTGGAGCTCAAGGCCAGATTCTGCAGTGGCCCTAGGTATGTATGGTCATAGGTAAGGGGCAAGGGTCCTCCTTGACTGGGCAAGTAGAAGTTCCTGTCTGGTGTTTTAGTGCTGGGACCTTGTAGGGCGGTGGTGTCAGCATTGCTCAGCACCTGGTGTACACGCTGCAGGTACTTCCATAGGCTGTATTTCATCTGGTCTGGTAAGGCTTTCATTCCAGGTCATAGGTGATGGGCACCTAACTTCTCATTTAAGTGGGGAAACTGAGGCCCTCAGAGTGGAAGTGATGCAGTGTCCGTCAAGTTCTAGTTGCTACCAGCCTAGCAATTCCAGAAGAAAAAAGTTAATCAAAGTGGAGAGGTTGCTGCCTCCGTTTCTTGTCATTTTTCTAGAGCAGCCTCCTGTACCGTTCCATTGATGATTTGTCACCTGTCTCTATATATTAGGAACATTTATTTGTTGCTGTCCACAGCCCATACGGTGACTAAAGTGTCATGTCTGGTTCTCTTTCCATAGCTCTGAATAGAACACTTAACCTGTAGGAGAAAATTCAGGAATCCATATGGATTCAAAGTAAAACATTTTGGAAGTTTGAAGAATTCCTGAGTATTCACTTCAGGCTCAATAGCTTCCTATTTTGCTAGTTATCCCTAACCCTTCCCTAGCCCCAAGGCACTTTTTTGTTTGTGTTTTGTTAAATTGGACCTGAGTAGCCCTCCTTGACTTTTTTTTTTTCAATACATCTTTAGTCATTACCTATATAGGCAGAGTGCCTGTGTTACAACTGTGGGCAAGAGATTCAATATTTACTTTTCATAGTAGGACCTGCTACTTTCAGGAGTAGGGCCTCCTCTTTCATGGCCTTGGCTAGAATTTTCCTGGGCTCTTCCACAAAGCAGTAGTATCCAGATATATGGCAGAGAATTGTGCCATGTCTGAGCTAAAGTAGCAAAGCTGTCTCTTTTGTTCTCTCTTTTCTCCAAGTCACTCAGCTCTAAACCAGGTGTGTTCCAGTTTCCTCTACTACATGTGCTTCAATCTCCTCTCATCTTCAGAGAAGACGGCACTGCCTTCCTCCGAAGGTGAGATACTGTGGTTTGCCACTCGCCCTTGAGGTTTGTGGCAGTCTGGATGAATTATTGACTGGCAGCATAGTACATCAGACAGAAATATAGCTCTCTGCTTGAAGCTGCCCGGAGGAACCATGGAATCATGGAAACAATTCCTAGGGAGGTGAAATAATAGGATCAGAAAACAAGGGAATCCGAGGCTCCTGGGACCATGGATTCTGAAGGCTGAGAAGGATCCTAAACTCTTCAAGACCAATTCCTCATTCCCAGCTCTGTCTTCTGTAGCATCTCCACAGCAGGCTCCTTTTCTCTTCCTGTTTCCCTCCAGAGGCCCAGTGCTTACTGTAGCATGAACAGTCTGTTGTGTTTTCTGTGTTCATTCGTGCTCTGTGGTGTGTGTGGGTGGGGTACTGGGGATTGAACATAGGGCCTTGTGCATGGTAGACAAGCATTCTACCTCTGAGCTACCTCCACACCCCTTTTTTCATTTATTTAATTTCACTTTGAGGTCTCAGAGTGACTCATGTTGGTCTCAAACTTGTGATCCTCCTGTGTCAGCCTCCTAAGTAGCTGGGATTACGTGTGTACCACCACATTTGGGCTTGAAATGGTCTTCTAAGCAGCATTTGAAGTCTTTTATAGTCTAGTTACAAATTACTCATACATTTCTGCAGCTCCTGATATCCCACATCCCTTCATTGGCCCTCCAGTCACCCTGAATGGAAGTACAATGTGTCCTGTCATGCCTCCAAGCCTCCCAACACCTTGCTCCCTGTCTCTCGGATTCACTCCTCTCCGTTCTTTGCCTGTTTTCTGCTTACCCTCCACAGTGCCCTCTTTGAGCTTGCCTTCCTCATCCCAGGCAGCCCACGTCATTTCCCTCTTCCACCCTGGAGCAAGGCACAGACTACACATGCTGCAGTTGTTCATCTCATTATCAGTCTCTTCCCCTGAGCTTCGGGAGGTAGGACTTGGGTTTCATAGCCTGGCTTAAAGTGGGCCCTCGGCGAACATATGTCAAGTGAATAAATGAACATTTTTGAGATATATCCATATCCTTCCACATGCTAATTTTTCTCTCTCCTAGTAAGCTGAACCCTGCCTCATGGAAAAGGAAACTGATTTCCTCTATACTACATGTGCCCTTGTGTCCTGAGTAGTACTCTGCACAGAGTATTTCTCAAGTGCTCACTACCTGTTCTCCTGTGTGTGGCCTTCTGCTGCCTGTTTCCTCCTAGAACTCTCTGCAGTATCTGAGCTCCTGCAGGAGGGGCTGCCCCACATAAGCAGCAGGGGCCCCGAAAGCCTTGCCTTCCTGTCTGATTGCCAGTATGTGGAGGGAGCTGCTCGCCAGAAACAGTACTGTATCCTGCTCCTCTTCTACCTGGCCTACATTCACGAGGACAGGTCAGTGCCCACCTGGTGGCTGGTGGTGAGTCCCGGGACACTCATCTATGTCTCGTTCAGGCCAATGGATATTTTTATTTGTATCAAACTCGAAGCCTGTGTGCCTCAGCCTGCAAGTGCTCAGTTCAGGGAATATTTGCAGAGGCATCCTCTCTAGCCTGAGCCTGAGCATCGGAACACAGAGATAGTGGGAATGGGTTGTTCCTGAGAGGCTCATATATTGGAGTGGGTTAAGACTGGTCAGTAGACACAGTGCTGAGAGACAGAGCCCAGAATGCTAGTACATTTTCTTTGTTATCCTCAAGGGTGTTGTTTGTGCACAGAAAACAGCTTTGATGGTTTACTTTTATTTTAAGAATTACTATATAATTTGTTGAACAGTGAGAATCAAGAGGCTAGTGTTAAGCTTTTAAGAAGATAATTTATACAGGTGAAATTTATACAACAGAAAATTAGCCACTTAAAAGGGAATAATTCAGTGGCATATAGTGCACTTACAGTGTCGTGTAACCACAGCCTCCATCTAGTTTCAGAACATTTCCATCACTCCAAAGTAAAAGTCCTTACCATTTAAGTTAAAGCGGCAGCACATATCAGTAACCTCAGAACATGGGAGGCTGAGGTGGGGGAATCGCTTGAACCTCAGAGTTTGAGACCAGTCTGGTCTCACTGACAACAGTGAGACCCATCTTGAAAAAAAAAAAAGAAAGAAAGAAAGAAAGAAAAAAGGTTGGGCCTGCCTATTATCTGCCTTGCATGTGTACTCTCCTGAGCCAGGGATTTAGCTCAGTGGCACCGTGCCTTTCAAGCACAAGGTCCTGAGTTCGATCCCTGGTATAAAAAACAAAACAAAACAAAACCAAAGCCCTCCTACCTTGCACCACAGAAAGTAGCCCACTGAACATACCACGGTTTAATCACAAGTATGCAAAGAGAGAGGTAGTCATCTGCCTAAGCAGAGCTTTCCTAACCCCACACAAGCAGCACCTTTCTGCTTTGAAAGTATGTACAGCAGGCTGTTTGTCCATGATATTGATGGGCATGCTGGGGCAGGGCAGTGGGCTGAAGGAGTATACTGCCAGCAGGACAGGAGAGTCACCTGGCCTGCCAGCTCTGTCTTTCTCACTCAGGCCCTCCTTGGTCAACAGGTTTGTCTTAGAGGCAGACTTATTTGTAGCTGTGCAGCGCTTCCTCCTGTCTCTTCAGAACCAGGGTGAGCGCCCCCCACCAATGGTCTTCAGAGCCTCCATCTATCTGCTTGCAGTCTGCCAGGACAAGGACAGTGCACTGGATGAGGTAGGGACTAGAATGCCTGGGGCTTTCCCCATCCTGTACCTCATTACATGAATGTATTGGGAGACCACGATGACATATGTGTGGACAGTGGAGTGGCAGAGGGAGACTGAGAAGTTAGAGTGGAGAGGAGCAGTGTGCTGATGGCTAGAGAGCCTTGGAGGTGGAGATCATTTCCACTTCATAGATGAGAAAATGGAGATTAAGTGAAAGTAGCTTTCTCCAGGGCCCACAGTGAATTGGTCGGGATGGGGTGCACCTAGGGCTCCACCTTAGACTTTATTAACTCCCAAGGTCTTTTCTTGTTACCACCTCTGGTTTGTGCGGGAGGAGAGAATGGTGAGGTATTATATACCCTTCTGCCAACAGTTTCTCAAGCAAAGTGAATCATTAAACATTGTTAATAAGGGTGATTTTGGATCCTTTTTATGGTGATTGTTTATAATCTCCAGCTTCTTTATAAACTGTAGATCAAGGTCAGTATCTGATTTGTCACTGAATCCCTCCCTTATTTCATAGAGGATTGCTTCTATTCCTTGGCTGTAGACCTTTCAGTCTCAACCGAGGCTATTCTTATCTCAGTGACTATTACATTTGCCTCTTTTGATTATTGTTGGGGCAAATGTGATGCAAGCAGGATACCCAATGTCCCTTTGCCTCTATTTATGTCATATTAACAGCTATTGGTGATTATTGCTAGACGCACTAGTTCATTAAGGATTGCCAAATAATAGTACTGTAATTCTGTCATTCTTTCTTCATTAATTAACTGGAATACTCATATAAAAAGAATCTTCCATTGGACATAGTTGTCCATGCCTATAACCCCTATTACTTAAGGATTGAGGCAGGAGGATAGTTCAAGGCCAGCCTGGGGAACTAAGCAAGACCCTTTCTCAAAAATAAAGAATAAAAAGAGCTGGGGATGTAGCACAGTGGTAGAGCATCCTGGGTTTAATCCCTAGAGCCACACACACACACACACACGCACACACAAACACACACAAAACAGCTGGGTGTGGTGGTACATGTCTGTAGTTCCAGCATTTGGGAGGCTAAGGTAGGACTGCCTTGAATTTGAGGCCAGCATGGGTGAATTAGATGCCAGCCTGAACAACATTGCAAGACCCTGTCTCAAAAAAACCCAAACCGGAGCGGGGCGTGGTGGCACATGCCTATAATCCCAGCACTCAGGAGGCTGAGGCAGGAGGATCACTGTGAGTTCGAGACCAGCCTGGGCTACATAGTGAGTTCCAGGTCAGTCTCAACTACATAGT